CATTTTGTTGCCCTGCCCTAATGCTTCCCCAAAGTGCCTAATTGCTTTATATTTACATAACTAAGAGAGACACCAAGGGATTCTTCCAAGAACAAAGATCTTCTTCAAGGTGATCTTCTGTTCCTGCCTTTAAAGAGAAGTAGTTGCAGTATACTTCACTAAAATAATTTATCTTTGTCTAACCATGTCCCTATTTTATCAGTGATAATGTGCTCATAAATTATATGACAGATTATGTAATTTGCCCAAAGCAGAAAGAGGTCTCAACCCCCAAACCCATGCATTTAACCACTCTGCTTTACTACCTCTTGTCATTCAATTCACATGCTACCATGTCATTATTTACTTTTGTGTCTCAGATACTGTACTCTTATTAGTTAAGTTTATTGCAGGAATATAAGTGTAGGCACTCTCTTCTGAGCTGTTGCTGAAACAGAGTGGGACAACAGTTGTATTTGTGAACTAATAGAAAATGAGTATATTTACTGCAGAAGGAAGTTGTGCTTTCTCTGCAAAGTTAGATCACAGAAGGGAGAACAATACTTATCTATAGTTCTGGAGGGTTGAAACCGAATAGTAAATTAGTGTTGGGGTCAACACATATTGTTAACAGTGTTCTGTAGATTTCATGATTTAGGAAAGTTGTCTACAAGGCTGGATTAATCTTTTCCTGCTGAGAGCCAAGTTTACTTTGCTCTGCCCCTCTCTTTGTGCAAGTGTAAGACAGTCAACTGACCTTTCAAATTATCAGCTTAATCATAATTTTTCTCTCAGAATTCTTTAAATTTAAGAATAATGAAAAAAAAAAGTCCAAAGAAATTTTTTTCATAATTTCTCTTCCCCCTAGTATTAGTATTCTCCTCAATGAAATGAAAATGAAATGCATGTATATCCTATTTCATAAACCAAAACCAAGTTCTGACACATTATTGGTAGTTGATGTTGTTTTAAAGGAAAACCATGATGACTATAAACTGTTGTATTATCTGGAAGTTGTACTGTAGATTCCAGGAGGTCAAGGCATCTCTGGTACCTTCTATACATTTATAGGAGAACTGATTGCCTCTCCCCTAACAAAACCTCAATGAGACCTGACTCCTAACCAGCTAAGACTCAGCAGGGTCCTCCCTGCCTCTTCTAATTTTAGGACTTTCTCTCACGTGCTTGCCTTGGAAGTGGAGCTGCATGCTACCAAGCCATGACAGAATAGGGGCCAGGCTTACAACAGAGCTTCCACTTACCCCAAATCTGCCACAGAATTAATTCCATACATTTGACCTCATATCACTTGTTTTGTTGTTACCATTGTTATTGCTTTATTATTGTTGTTGTTGTTGCTTTCTTGTATATATTTAAGACTTATGGTTTTTCAAACTAGTTTGGATTTAAGATACACAATAAATTCTATCATTTGAAAATGATAAATATAGATGTCCTTATATCAGTTGTCTTCAGATTTCAGATATATTTAGCCTTTTGACTTTATCCAAAAACTAAACATTCTGATTGGCCCTCATTTTAAAAGGGAAGAACTTGTTTCTATTTATTTAGATTTGGATATGCTCTATATTGGGATGAGGGCACTTTCTGTACTGAAAGAAGTTATGTGTTTTCCTACAGGTTAGATGAAATCTGTTTTTTCCCTTGACTGGGCTTATGCATTCTGTATAAACAAAAGTGTTCTGGGGCTCCTGAAGAAGCAGCCTGAGGACCATGCATCTCACCTAGTTCTACCACACGCTCTCCCTGGTGACTGTTGGCACTGACCAGAAAGGTCTAGAGTGATGAAGAGAAAAGCTAATAAACAATTCTTGAAAACCTACTATGTGCAAGGGACTATGCTTGATATACATTTGCCTTGTTTCATTTAACTTTCATAACAATCCCATCAGGCAATTACCATTTTCCTTATTATATAGATGAAGAGATTAGGTATTATAATTAATCTAATCTCACAGAGCCAGAAGCAGCGGAGCCAGGAGTGAAACACGGCTCATTCAGACTCCACAGCCAATGCCTTTCTGTACCCCACACTGTCCATCATGGATTTGGGTAGACGGGGGACCTAACTCCCCACTAGGTTTAAGGTCTAGTTCTTGAATGAAGCCTCACGCATTTCTCTCAGGTTCAGGGACAATCAGACTGTCAGAGTAGAAAGAGACTTTGGACTCAATATTTGCTAATCTACTGGCTTCCTAACTTCTTCCTAAGGCCTTCACTCTGTCAAGTAGGTGCTAGGGTTCCCTGCTAATGGATGCTAAGCTTCTCAAGGGCTTGAGCAGGCTTGTTAGTCTTTTCAGGGCGAGCTATGCACCAACTATGCTGTTGTTGTGCTGAGGCCTTAGCATTCCTCACTTCAAATCAATTACCTCTTTATTACCTTAATACATCACTGGCCATGTGACTGATTTGGAATGTAAAGGAGACTAACCCTGTAGGATAATAACTTTCATGTGGCACACAAAATCTATGGGGATATTCAGAGCGTTTGCTTTTTAAAAATGAATATTCTACAGCCTGTGCTGCCTGTTTATTCTTATTTAGAGAATTTTGTCATTTTAATAATTTGGTAGTATTTTACTGGTAGGTGCACAGATATGTAAAAAGAAAGTGTATTTTTTCCTTTTCTTGTGGATTTAAAAAATGTTTAGAATTTTTATTTGCAGTATATAAACAATAATAGTACTTTATCCTTTCTTATTTTTACCTGTTACAAGCAAGTTATTTCATTTAAATTGACTTTAAGCACATTCCTTTGAAAGAAACCATAGATTGTTATTTTTAGCAATCCTGATTAGATTTCTTCCTCAGACAACAGTTTAGTAAGTTTATGCTAGGAATGTGGGTAGGTGGTTTGACTCGGTAGAGCAAACAGTGGGCACTCTAGAATTCTTGTTCTCCAAGTATTCAAAGTCCTTTGGAAGAATTTCCTCTCTGGGCATTTAGATATTCCTTCTACTCTGTGAGGTGAAAGTGTGTTATGTGGTTTTATTGTTCACTTATTGAATGCCAATTACATGCCAGCCCCAGGTTTGTCTTACATGTGTTATCACATCTCATTCAATTTGAAAAGGGGTTATGGCATAGGCACATAATGTTATCTTCATCTTTCAGATAAAGAGGCATAATTTCAGGTAGATAAATTTCCCAGTAGTTACACAGCTAGTGCCGAATGATAGCAAGATTCACCAGATCTGTCTGCCTTTTTCAAATATAACACCTTGCCTGGGAATGAGCTAGCAGAAGACTTTTAGAAGATGAGACTGGATAAGTGGCTTCAAATTTCATTCTAATCAAGACACTAAGGTTTGCATTTATTTGTTCCTTCAGTACCATTTATTGGGCACCTAATGTGTGTCAAACAATCTAGGAACTGGCGACATTACAATGAATAAAAAGCATAGATCCCTGTCTTCCAGAAGCTTACTTCTGGTTATTGGAGGTTTTGAGCCAAGAAATGACATTATCTGGCTTAGGTTTTGCCAACACTCTCCTGGTTACAGTGTGGAGCATCACCTGAAGAGAAGTGAGGGCTTCAGCAACAAGCCCAGTTAGGAGGCCACTGCAGCAATCCAGACAACAGAGGGTGGGGATTTAGACCACAGTAGTGGCCAAGATGAGAAGTTGGATTCTATATGGACTTCGATGGAAACACCAATAAGATTGCTGAGGAACTGAATGTAGAAATTGCTTGTCCATGTTTTAACTGCAACTATGGTCAACCTGCATCCTAAACCTATGCTTTTTAAATTATGTTAACATGCTGAAGTATAAAGTGATTTCACAACTATATTCAATTTCATAAAAAAGTGTAGCTCCTTTTCAGCTCCTCAGCACTAGGCTTAGGAAAGGAGAATGCCTTTTGAAGCCTGTAAGAGACAGGAGAGAGCTCTGTGTCCCAGGAGCATTTGTCATCCAGGCTGCAGCTAGCCAGCTGGCTCCTTCAAGGGCCATATACCTGGGTGGCAGCACATATGTGGTTATACTTGAGATACGTGGTGTGTCCATCTCAGAGCCACTCAAAGTCCATTTTAACCCTTCCTATGGTTCCCCATGAGGAGGTGGGAAAACGCTCTTAATAAGATTTAAGCACAGCTTCACATTTTTCTGCCTTTGTTATTTCTCAGAAATGCCATTATCAGTCTGAATCAGAACAGGTGTTAATTCTTGGTCACAAAGTAGCACTTTTAGCACACTCTTTTGCCGTTTTTTTAAACTTCAGAAACAGATTCCTTGTAGGTAACTTTCACTGAGCAGACATTGTCAGCCAAAAATAGTTCTGGATCCACCACATCTGCCATAAACTTTAACAAGTTCAGGATACAAATTTGTGTATCACAAGTCAATAAAATTGCCACCAAGCTGTTTGTGCAGTAATAAGGTCAATAAATATCATCTTCATTCAATTAATTTTCATTGACCTTAAGGGAATGACCTTCTATTTCCAAGTAGGAGAAGAAATTGGCCATGGGGAAGCATAACTATTGAATCTGCTTTTCAGTTATTACATTACTGAAGATAGCATGGGCATCTAGCTATGCTTGTATGTTTAGACTAAAAAGTCATGCCCTATACGGCTTATCCTTAAGTAGACCCAAACGATTTAATTTCGATTAAGATCATTGAAAGACCCCACAATCAGCTTGGGGTCGTCCTAACTGCATCTTCCAGATATGATCTAATATCTCACTGATCTTGGCCATCCATTGGGTTCTTCTGGGCAGGATATCCAGTTAAGGATGTGATGAGAGGCTCTCACTTTCTGGCCTACAAACTACATTTGTCACAACCCCTTTCTCCATTAACCTGGGCTGGAGATCAGCCCTGAAGTTGCTCTTTTGTTGTGCCAGCCATACCCTGAAGGAGGTAACCACACCAGTGAGAGATGAGTGCCTCTGATTTCCTCCTGTCTCCACGTGGCAGATGAGGGACCCTGCCATTTTTTTATAAAATTCAAAATCAACTAAAGTATCACTTTTTTTATTTTATTATTTTCCCAGGGCTGCGTCCAAAGAGGACTCTGCGGCTGGTGCTCTGGACTGCAGAAGAACAAGGTGGAGTTGGTGCCTTCCAGTATTATCAGTTACACAAGGTAAAAACCCAGCTATGGATTGCTAAGCATTTGTACATGTAATATACAAAAATATCTCTCATTATCCATTTAAGACTTTCAATAATACTTTCTGGTCAACTGGCCCTAGCAAACACCCTTGTATGAGCCTTCTCCCTCCAGCCCTGTGAATGAGAATGCACTGGTAAACCGATGATGCTGTGGTGTAGAGCTGAGAGCTTTTCTTCTTCTACATCACAGTCTGTGGCCAAAGAAAAATTCTGATTGCCATGCTGCCATTTTTTTAAAGTCTCCCTAGCTCTGCTGTATTTATGTATGTCAGAGAAATAGTTATAGGCAAACATTCCCTCTCCCCACCGGGCCTATCCCCATACCTCAATGCCTGCCATACTCCCAGAAGCCTTGGCATTTGAGTGCCAGGTTCCGAGGCCTTGAGTCTGCCAAGAGCATTGCCATGATGGTGGTGGAAATGGCAGCAGCCACAGGCCTCTGTCCCGGGAATGTGGAGGACAGCTTGGTTTGACACCAGCTGTCATTATACAAGTGTGAAGCTTGAAGCAGGAAGATTGTTGTGGATGGTTGTGATTAGAAATACAAGGCCACATGGAAGAGGGAGGATGGAGAGATTAATATCAAGAGCAAATTTTGAGACAGCAAAATATACAAGCTCAGAAGTACTCTAGATCAAGTCAAATGTTAGTTCAAAGAGGAACTCCAAAATCAATGAGCATATGCTGGCAAGCAGTGATGGTTGCCCAGAGAGGAGCATCTGGTCTGCTGCTGCCGGATGGTTTCCCCTGAACATCTAGACTAGAAGAAGCAAATCTTGCAAGCTTAAATTATCCAAATCAGAGAAGGGTTTCTTTTGTAAATTGTGTGTATGTTATTTTTGACCTTTTTTTTTTTTTCAAAGTCAGTCTCTATTGCCCTATTTCAGTCAGTTAGTGTATAATGAGTTTAAAGTCATGAATTTGGTCACTGAATACAATTATTTACTATACAAAGGACAACTTATGTCCTATCCCCTACTCTTACAATACTTTAGTTCTTTTGGCCTCAGGTGATCCTGGGGATAACATAATTCAAGACAAGTGTCCTTTGGTTAGTAGGTCAGTAACATCATTTTCTATGTGATGTTGTAGACCACAACATCATATGAGGATTGTTCTAGATTCAGCAACATTCAATTAATATTTTCTGAGCACGTACTATGTTCTGTACACTATGATATGCATTAATGTTAGCATCAAAAAGATCTACCATGACCTAACAAAGCCTACATTCTAAAGGACACTGATCATTAACTTAAATTGATCATTAACTTAATCATTAACTTAATAACTGATCATTAACTTAAGTCTTTCAAGACTTAACACCTTATAGTTTCTTTCTGGGAAAGAAAGAAATTGGCAGAGGGACCTGTGTGTGCAAAGGCAGGAGATGAGACAAAGCAAAGCACACCGGAGAAATGGAAAGGAATTCAGAGTGGCTGCTGCATAGAATGCAAGATGCACAGTGGTAGGAGGGTGGAACACTGAGGTAAACAAGAGCCTGGACAAGAAGAACATATGAATCATGTTTAGAAGTGCAGACTTTATCCTCAAGGCAAGAGAGTAACTTATCTTTAAGAAGGAGATTTAAAATTCTATACATATTGGACTTTATTTAAAAAAAAAAAAAAACAGAATAGTTAAAAGAACTGTTCTTTTTTTTTTTTTTTTTTTTTGAGACGGAGTCTCACTCTGTTGCCCAGGCTAGAGTGCAGTGGCACGAACATATGAATCATGTTTAGAAGTGCAGACTTTA